ACCATCCCATTAGTGTTATTCCCATCCTGATTTTTTTTCCTGGTCTATTTTTGATATGAATGGTATTAGTATCTTAAATGAGTGTTATTGTTGAAGAGGAATTATGGAAACATGGAAATATATGGAAATGTCAGTGACAATATAGGAACAATGTAAGTCCAATTATTTTAATTCCCCTTTCAGTTTAAAAGAGAAAAATATAAATCAAAACAAACAAAATGCAAATGCATGCATTAGAAGAGAACATTGAAGTAAAGAGACATAGAAGCGAGCTGATAGGCACGTAAATAAGTGGGAGCCTGTTTTATTAGGAACATCTCTTTGGGGGTCAGGGACACCCTCTCCTGAATATTGTGTTCAGGAGTTCAAGGTGCCCTCTTGGCAATTCCTGGCCAAGCAGATCAGGGACAGTTGTTCAGTGCAAGGGCCCAAGGATATGCTGCTGCTCCGGTAGGAAGTGGGGGACCCCTGATGGTGCTGGGGGCCTCCAGGGCTACACCGGGAGATGCTGGGGAATTAGGAATTAGAATGTGGTGTTAGGGACAAGTCAGGTGATTAGCATGACACTAGTCCCTCTTCTATCTCTTGGCCCTTAATAACATTTCTTAAAGTGCAGCAATTAAAGGAATGAAATTATTTTTAGGTAATAGACCAACTATGAACATTAAAATGTTCTTTTAATGTGTTACTGTTTTCAATAAAAATGGCAAAGAAGGTAGGAAAGAAGGTAAAGATTTATTTGAAGTGGGAGAAATGAAACTGGTAAAGGATATTGAGACCAGAGCCCAAAGTTAATATTTAATTTGAGAAGAAAAAAAGGTACAAAAATACATTTTATGACCAATCACTGTATCACTGTATCACTGTCATCCCCTTTGTTCATCGATTTACTTGAGTGGGTGCCAGTAACCTCTACATTCGTCCCAACCCTGAGATTTCATCAGCCTCTCCTTAGTCTTCTTTCCCAATGTTTGGAGGTTCTTTCAGGGTCAGGGGAATGAGACCTGCTATAGTTACTGTTTTTGGCATATAGAATACAGCACGGGGAGCTTTCCAGGCTCTTCTGTGTGGGATGACCAATAGGAACGCAAACAAGAAGACCTAGCAAATCTAGAATCAGAAAAAAGGTTTGGTGGTTGTCACAAAAATCATAATTATGGGAAGTTTTGTCATCACTCAAGATCTCACATCCATGGTGAACTGAACTTTCATATAGAAAATTCCACAGGAGAAAACATTGTCAATCCCCAGTTATTTTATTTTGTACGAATAGATTTTGTTTTAATAATTAAATAAATAAATAAAAGATTTATATAAAATATATTTTATTTTTGCTTTTTGGGTCACACTCAGCGGTACACAGGAGTTACTCCTGGCTCATGCACTGAGGAATTTCTCCTGGTGATGCTCAGGGGACCATATGGGATGCTGGGAATTGAACCCAGGTCGGCCGCATGCAAGGCAAAAGCACCACTCACTGTGCTACCACTCCAGCCCCCCCCAAATATATTTTCAATGAAAATATTTTGTTACTTTGTTTAAAACTAAGATTTAAACAAGAAAAAATGGACATGGGAGCTGAGGAGGCAGTACAGCATGTTCGGCACCTGTCTTATATGCAGAAGTTCCACGTTCAATCCCCCACCCCTGATATGAACCCCCAAGTCTGCTTGGAGTGACCCCTGAGGGCAGCAGAGCAGAAGCAAACCCTGAGCACTAGTGGGTGTGGTTTGAAAAAAAAGAAAGAAAGAAAATAGTAACAATGGACATTTATATGTTTCTCCAGTTTCTTAAGATTGTGCCTGTTTTTCAGGATGATGAAGGATTTGAAAAAATATTTCTTCCCTGGGATTGAAGAGATAGTACAGATGGTAAGGCATTCATTTGTTTTCAGTAGTGGTGGATTTGATCCTGTTAACCCACATGGTCCTCTGAGCCTTTCCGGGAGTGATCCCTGAGCCAGGAGTAAGCCCTGAACACTGGCGGGTGTGGACCAAAACCCAAACCAAACACAATCAAATAAAAATTTTCCCCCTAACTGACATAATACAATTTGCTAGATTAGGAGAGGAGCGAGTGCCCAAAACGCACCAGAATCATGAGGCCTAGTTCTAGCTTGAACGGTTAGTGGGAAAGCACTCTCGAGCACTTTAAGGCACAGTGCTCATAGGGTGTGGCTAGAAGCAGCTCCCAGCACTGCTGAGTGGAGCCCCAGATAACTATTTTAAATGGTTCAACATTATTTTTTAGGTGTAAGTGTATCAGTCTTTGATCTCTATATAAATTTATCGATGCATTCCCATTGATGCTAGTTGAACATATCATTATTTGTTTTTATTTTTGCATGCTTCAATGACAATCCGGAGAAGGAAATTCAGTGTATTATTTTGTATCGGGCTGGAGCGATAGCACAGCGGTAGGGCATTTGCCTTGCACACAGCCAACACGGCCGACCCGAGTTCGATTCCTCCGCCCCTCTCAGAGAGCCCGGCAAGCTACCGAGAGTATCTCGCCCGCACGGCAGAGCCTGGCAAGCCACCCGTGATGTATTCGATATGCCAAACACAGTAACAACAAAGTCTCCAATGGAGACGTTACTGGGCCCGCTCGAGCAAATCGATGAACAACGGGAGGACAGTGATGACAGTGATTTTGTATCGACATACTATTCTGTCCTTCAAGTCTGCTTCAGTTTCTGAGTTGCAGAACTGGTTCACTTGATGGACAAAAGAGCTGGAGGCACTTTGTCCCCTCACCCCCAACCCCCACCATCCCTCTAGGACCTCTGTTAACCTTGCTGTTCTAGAACTCTTTGAGCATTGTTCCTCAAAGTAAAGGTTCTATGTAGTGAGTCACTTGTACAGAGCTTTTTAAGATGACTCGTCTTTTACATGAGCTTGAAGAACTCTTTGGCGACAGCAGGTAAATGGTCACACCAATCTTTGAGCATAACCCCAAATGCTATTAGATTCTTACATTGCCTAACAGACCATTCTGTCTGTACCTGGGCAGTTCTTTTTCAACAGAAAATGTAACGCCCTGAGGTTTTAAAAAGTGTTGTCAAATATGAAGTGCCACAGACATTTAAGAAATTAATACCATTTTTTAGGAGAGGGACGGTGTCAAGAAAATTGCATTTTGTTATAGTTAGATATTGTCTCATGTCAATGAAGGAAATTAATCTGAGGTTAGTTAGTAGTTTCACTCGTATTACAGATTTTCAGGTTAGTGAGAGGGTTTAATTACTCCTATTTTACCTATTTTATATAGAAATTAACTTTTGAAGTTTTTTGGAGGGGGGAAAGCCATTGAAAACATTTTTCTATACTAACTTTATGTCATCAAAGATTTTTTTCACCATAAACCCGATTTATTTGCTGTCTCATTTCTTAAAAAATAAATTAGAAAAAGCATCTTTCTGAATTTCAAAACCCTGTCTGGATAAGAAGTTCCTCAGGCCTCTTGTGTTCCTGAATTGTGGGTCTCAGTTCATTCCACTGAGTGTGTACCTTGTAAAGTGTGTTGAGTCAGAAAAACACATTAGTCTGTAGTCTAAATTATATATCTATGAAACTCTGGGATTGCAAGGCATTATTGTAAGTCATAGTCTATAAGTGGGAAAAAACAAATTTCCAGAATTGTGAAAATGTCTATTTTTTAGTTCATTATTATAATATCACACATACCATATATTATACAATTATTATGATTAAATTTTTTCTTTGACAACGTAAGCATAGTGCCACTATATTCCATATTTCTTGGGATGACCATTATTTCAAATATTTTGCTGGTCAAATCATGTACTAGATGGCGTGGCTTAATTTCTCTTTTTAAAAGTCTGCTTATCATAGCTGTAAGTATAGGTGTTCTCACTCTTTAAAAAGGATTATGTATTTTTTTGTGTACTGATTATTAAGTCTTAAGGAGAGATTAAAATTTATGACAATAAAACAAAAAATTCTATGCCAAACTTTTTAGAGCTTGTAAAATTTATCTTTACTAATTACATATTCATAATGTGAACAATTATAATCCCAGTAATGTGAAATAAATGAATAAATAATGTGAAACAAAGTTTTCTTTTTGAGAAAGACTAGATAGTTCCTTTGTTTCTTTCAAACTGATGCTAATATCTTTAATAAATATAAATAAAACAACTATTAATATAAAAGTGACATTTCTAATTCCCAATAGTCTAAAGTTCACTGAATGGAAATTCATATTTTTTTCTCTTTGCATATAGGTTTTAAAAAATATCATTTGAGAAGTGGATCTAAACACTGCTAATAGTGTCGTTGGAGTTGTAGTAGGCCAAACACTTGCCACTGGCCATCAAATGTCTCTCTGAATGTAGCTGAAAAAGGAGAAAGACAGAGAGAGAGAGAAACCAAGAGAGATCGAGAAACTGAGAGAAAGAGAGAGAGAGAATGTGTTAGAGAGTGAGAGAGAGAGAGAGAAGGAGGAAAGAAAGAAAGAAAGAGCAGTGTCCTTTGAGCAAGACTTTCTGCAGCTGTTGTGTACATTAATCCAGGGAGCAGATCTCCCAACACTAAATATAGCAAGCATATCCTTTTACATGATTAAAAAAAAATTAAAACGAAAGTCTTTAACTATGGAGTCATATTATTTTAGATCTTATTTCCTTTCAAAAGGAACTGGGCATCGCACACGCATTCTCTTTACAAACACCAATGTTTTATAAATGAATGTGTGGAAAATGCCAAGAGTAAATACATGCCCTGACTTCCTCTACTGAGATATTTTCCTGAGGATCCAATTAGGCTGTGATTTCCGTGAGTCACTCACATCAATTCACTCCGAACGCTTTCTATGTTGAAAACTTGATTTTCTCACCTGATTTTGCGTGCCAGCATACACAATTAGAAAGTCATCCCAAGTTCTCTCTCCACAGTTTTTAAGTTCCCTCAACACCCCTTTTCCCCATTGTCAGTGCCCTGTTATCAAAACACACTTGAGAACTTAAAAATGGATATTACCTTTCTTTTTTTAGTTGACCCAGATGAGGATTCCAACTCTGGCACTCCACTGTGGTGATAACTTTTGAAGGAAAACGTTCAGTTGACAGCAGAAGAGAAAAAGGAAAAGCTTTCACGCCTTTGGAGAGAGAGCGGAGCCGTGCATAGGGAGTGAGGAGTTAACCTTAGTTTCAGTGAAGATGGCTGGAAGAAGCTGGACAACCTGTCACCACTGGAGCAAGAGCATTTGTCAGCTCACAGGTCCCAAGTTATTTTGAGCTGTATAAACCATGTGCCCATGAAACATTCCACCTGATTGGACAGGAGAAAACGAAGGCAAGGATTCCATCGCAGGATAGCACCTATGGTCAGTGGCACACCGATCTGTTTTTTCCTACCTATAGAATTTCACTTAACATTAAATGACCAAGTTGTTGGTTTTTAATGATATTTGGGACTGATACTAAGTGTTGTTGTAACCCATCCATATGTCAACTAGACTGGTGTTCTTTTAAAAATATATCAAAATTAGTGATTTTCATAAACCTTAATTTCAGCTCATGAGAAATGTCTCTTTTAATCAGTAATATTTTAGGAAATTTGGCCATGGAAATCAATATAAATCTGAAGGCTTAAAACTGAGATTTTAAAAAATCTGTCCATAAGACTAAGCAAAAGGAGAGGAGGCAATGAAGGCAGAGTTTGCAGAGAAAAATGAAGAGAAGAAAAACCATCAACCTGAGAACAAGCCCAGTGACAAATTAGTTTATTTATTTATTTATTTTTGCTTTTTGGGTCACGCCCGGCGATGCACAGGGGTTACTCCTGGTTCCACACTCAGGAGTTACTCCTGGCGGTGCTCAGGGGACCATATGGGATGCTGGGAATTGAACCTGGGTTGGCCGCGTGCAAGGCAAATGCCCTACCCGCTGTGCTATCGCTCCAGCCCCGACAAATTAGTTTAAACAAACGTTTTCAGAAAAAAAATGAATCTAACTCTATTTAAAAGTCAAAATTACTGGGGCTGGAGCCATAGCACAGCAGGAAGGGCGTTTTCCTTGCACGCAGCCAACCCGGGTTCGATTCCCAGCATCCCATATGGTCCCCTGAGCACCGCCAGGAGTAATTCCTGAGTTCAGAGCAAGGAGTAACCCCTGAGCATCGCCGGGCGTGACCCAAAAAGCAAAAAAAAAAAAAAAAAAAAGTCAAAATTACTTACTGTTCAGCCATTATAAGGAAGGAAATCCTGCCATTTGCAACAAAAATAGATTGTCGTCAATCACTGCACTAAGACTCTATAGAAGCCAGGGCTTAGCGGCTCATCAACATTCGTGTGTGTGCATTTGCTCGGCCTTATGATGGTAAATTTTGTTTCTTCCCTTCTTAAGGCTGTGAATAGTATTTTTTTCTAAAAACGAAATCTATAGAAACACTCTTCATGGGAGCATGTGCATCAGAACAAACGTGAAGAAAAGGAAATGACTAATATAATTTATCAAACCATATAGCATTATTAGTAACAATTTTTTTTTCAGAAAGAAATTGATTTTAGGGCCAGAGCAATAATAGTACAGTGCTGAGCAATGTAGCTGACCAGGCTTCGATACCTTTGGTGGTGCAAAGCCAGGAGTAAACCCTGAGTACCACTGATTGTGGCCAAAAAAGCACCTCCCCCCCCCCCCAAAAAAAAAGCAAGCAAGCATATTTAAGGGACTGTAGGGATAGTTCAGTGGTTATGGCAATCTGGGTTCAAGCCCCAGCACCACATATGGTCGGTCACCTGAGCAAGGTCAGGAGTGATCCCTGAGCACAGAACCAGGAGTAAATACTAAGCACAGCTGGGAGCAGGCCCCAAAAGTCAAAAAACAAAAAAAGTTGAATTTAATCAAAAGTTCTAAAATTGGAATGTCAAACGCTGAGGGAGTACTCCTGGGTTGCTCTGGCAGAGCTCAGGGGACCCTGTACTGCCAAGGATTGAATCTGGGCCTTCAGGGACCAGAGAGATAGTACAACATATTGGGCGTTTGCCTTGCACATGGCCAACTCAGGTTCGATCCCCGCATCCCATATGGTTCTCCAAGCATGGCCAGGAGTAATTCTTGAGTGCAGAACCAGGAGTAACCCCTGTGCATCACCGGGTGTGGCTCAAAAAAGAAGAAAAAAACTGGGGCTTCAGTGTGCAAAGTATTTACTCCAGCAACTTTAATACCAACAGAAGTTGGTTTTTGAATCACTGTCACTGTCACTGTCCTCCCGTTGTTCATTGATTTGCTCGAGTGGGCCCTGTAACATTGTGAGACTTGTTACTGTGTTTGGCATATTGAATACGTCACGGGTAGCTTGCCAGGCTTTGCTGTTTGGACGAGATATTCTCAGAAGCTTGCCAGGCTCTCTGAGAGGGGCAGAGGAATCGAACTCGGGTCGGCCGTGTCGGCTGCGTACAAGGTTTTTGAATAAGTTAAGTAAATTTTATCCAACTAATTGAGAATTCAGAACTTCCAAACTTTAATTAACATACTACTAGGTGACTTTTAATTTTGCTCTGGCTACAATATCAACTCAGTGTGGGTGGATGAAACTTTAAAATGCTGCTTAATTACTCTGAGTTGTTTTCCAAAAATGAAATAATGACATTAAGGCCATAACTCAAAGGTGGATTTTGTTTGATGCATTAAATTCTACTGCAGCAACAACAGAAAGGAAGCAATTACAATGAAGTGACACAGAATGTATGTATGTATATATACGTGTGTGTGTATATGTACATATATATATGTGCATGTATGGGGCAGAACAATAGCACAGCGGGTAGAGTATTTGCCTTGCATGTAGCTGACCTGCGTTCAATTCCTCCGTCCCTCTCAGAGAGCCCAGCAAGCTACTGAGAGTATCCTGCCCTCACTGCAGAGCCTGGCAACCTACCTGTGGCGTATTTGATATGCCAAAAACAGTAACAATTCTCACAATGGAGACTTTACTGGTGTTTGCTCGAGCAAATCAATGAACAGGAGGACAGTGATATATGTATGCATACATGTATATATGTGTGTGTGTGATACACACTTGTGTATATGTATATATGTGTGTATATGTGTGTGTATATATATATATAAGTGTGTGTGTGTGTGTGTGTGTGTGTGTGTACAGGGGATTTAGGACCAATACTGGCAATGCTCAGGGCTTACTCCTGGCTCTGAACTCAGGAATCATTCCTGGCCAGGGATTGAACTGGTTCGGCTGCCTGCAAGGCAAGCTTCCTCACCTGCTGTATAATCTTTTTGGCCCTGTATGTTTATATTGGAGTTAAAATTGTTATTATGGATCACTTGATCACTTGACCTCTTGACTTCCTGTTACTCATCGATTTGCATATTATGGATGCATTTTATAATTTATATTAAAAAGTCAGCATTAAAATTTAGATTTGGGGGGGCTGGAGCAATATCACAGCAGGTAGGGCATTTGCTTTGCATGCAGCCAAACCAGGTTTGATCCCCAGCATCCCATTTGGTCCCCTGAGCACCACCAGGAATAATTCCTGAGTGCTGTCAAGAGTAATCCCTGAGCGATGCCAGTGTGACCTCCGCCCCCCCAAAATTAAAAAATAAAAATAAAATTTAGGGGCTGGAGAGATATGGTGCTTGCCTTGCACGTGCCTAACCTGGGTTCAACCCCTGGCATCCCATATAAATTCCCGACCATTGTCAGGAGTAATTCTTTTTTTTTTTTTTTATTAGTGAGACATCATCATTACCCCCAACTGCTCGAGTGGGCCCAGTAACGTCTCCTTTGGAGACTTTGTTGTTACTGTGTTTGGCATATCGAATACGTCACGGGGAACTTGCTGGCCTCTGCCGTGCAGGCGAGATGATAGCACAGCGGTAGGGCGTTCGCCTTACAAGCGGCCAACATGGCCGACCTGAGTTCGACTCCTCCACCCCTCTCGGAGAGCCTGGCAAGCTACCGAGAGTATTCGATATGCCAGACACAGTAACAACAAAGTCTCCAATGGAGACGTTACTGGGCCCGCTCGAGCAAATCGACGATCAACGGGAGGGCCTTTTAGTGAGACGTCATGAGGTACAGTTGTAGACTTACAAATTTTTGTGCTTGGGTTTCAATTATACAATCATCAAATATCCATCCCTCCACCAGTGCCCATTTTCTACCACCACGGATCCCAGTACCCCTCCCACTCCCCATCCCCCCGTCCCACCCTGCCTCTGTGGCAGGGCATTCCCTTTCGTTCTCTCTCTCTTATTGGGTGTTGTGGTTTGCAAAAGAGGCAATGGGTGACAATCATGTTTAGTCTATAGTCTACTTTCAGCATGCTTCTCCCATCCTGGGAGGATCCTCCCAACACCCTTTATTTGGTGCTCCCTTCTCTATCTGAGCTGTCAGGAGTAATTCTTGAGTACAGAGCCAGGAGAAACTCCGAGCATTACCAGATGTGCCTCCACCCCCCAAAAATATTTTAAAATAAAAATTATTACATAAGACATCATATTACAACTCCATATATATTCGTACATGAGATAATTATTTTTGTCCATTTGTGCAGTGACAGGGATCAAACCTCAGGCATATAAGAAAAGTGCCTATTGCTAAATCGTACCTGCAGTCCCTGGGGTAACATTTTTGTATACTTTTTTTGAAGAAAGAAAGTCCCTACCCAATTTTACAAGCAATTTCAATCAATAAAAAATAATCTTTAACTGAACCCGCAATTGCTCAAATGCCTATTGTTCTTTTCATACATCTTCAGAATACTGATCTGGAAAAAAAAATTAACCCAGTTGCTTAGTAGAGATTAAGTGTTTTATAAGATTATCAATATTAGTAGAGGATCAGACTTTGAAAATTCAGCATGTCATTGGTTGTTTTCAAAACGGTGTACTCTTAAATTTAAACAGCAGAAAATATGTTGGTTAATATCTAGTTTCTAATTAAATCACTCATCTTGTAGGATTTCCCCTGATCCATTCAATTCAAAAAATATTTGCCTAATGTTTACTCTGCCCCAACGACTAGGTACAAAACAGTTTATGGAAATACATCAAAATTCTGACTTCATGGACATTTACAGAGAGATTTGTGGGGGGAGGTTTGTCACACCCAGCAGTGCTCAGGGAGTTACTCTCAACAATGGCCAGGGGTCCATTCTGG